AGAGGTGATAAACAGCAGGGAGGGGGGCCATTTATCAATAGTGCAGAGCAGAGCCGGCGCTTCCAACACCTCAGGCGCCGGCTCTGTGAGAGAAACACTGCCTGCCAGGTATGAATGGAATGGGTAAGAGGGAGACATGGGTGGGAGTGATAGGAATGGAAGGGGGAAGGGAGAGTTCATTTAAAATTGAAGGGTTAGGGAGGGATATTCGGATGGAATGAGTAGTTGGAGAGATATGGAACAGATGGAGACATGGGGGGAGAGATATGGAAGGGGAGGAGAGATATGGAAGGGGAGGAGAGATATGGAAGGGGTGGAGAGATATGGAAGGGGGGAGGAGATATGGAAGGAAGGGAGGGAGACATGGATGGAAGGTGGGAGAGAGATATGGAAGGAAAAAGACATTGATGGAAGGGGGAAGAGAAACATGGAGATTGCAGTGGGACTAGGGAGCAAGCAGAGCGGACACTTCAGACAGTGGCAGTACTACTGAGATAGTAAGTAACTTGAGGTGAAGCTTTTGAGTAAATGATAGATACGCACCCAGGATTTCATATTGTTTGCATGAGAATGATACAAGTAATTTAAGTTTCTGTTGGTCTACGTCAAACTCTTTGTTTGTTTTTCTGTGCGACCCACTTAAACGTAGCCTTCGAGTTTGACATGCTTGATGTAGGCTATCACAAGAATGATCGATTCTTTAAAAAAGCCATAGAATATGTATGGATATATTAAAGGACCACTCTAGGCACCCAGACCACTTCAGCTTAATGAAGTGGTCTGGGTGCCAGGTCCTTCTAGGGTTAACCCATTTTTTAATAAACATAGCAGTTTCAGAGAAACTGCTATGTTTATTAATGGGTTAAGCCTTCCTCCAATTCCTCTAGTGGCTGTCTCATTGACAGCCACTAGAGGCGCTTGCGTGCTTCTCACTGTGATTTTCACGGTGAGAGCACGCAAGCGTCCATAGGAAAGCATTGTAAATGCTTTCCTATGCGACGGGCTGAATGCGCGCGCAGCTCTTGCCGCGCGTGCGCATTCAGCCCAGGAGGAGGAACGGAGGAGGATCGGAGGCAGAGAGCTCCCCGCCCAGCGCTGGAAAAAGGAAAGTTTTTAACCCTTTCCCCCTTCCAGAGCCGGGCGGGAGGGGGTTCCTGAGGGTGGGGGCACCCTCAGGGCACTATAGTGCCAGGAAAACAAGTATGTTTTCCTGGCACTATAGTGGTCCTTTAAGAACGAAAGAGGAAATGCACATGGCAAGATTAACAAAAGTTCTTTAGTAATTTCTCCATTGAGAAAGGAAACTTATTGAGCTAGGATACGCAAAAATGAAAGCAAAAAAAGTGGATTATAAAACTAAGAGAAATAATTAGCATCATATTCTACCGTTAAATCACAGAATAAACTGTCCTGCATAAATTATATCGAGAAATCAACTAAACAAGAGAGCATGTTGAGGCTTTGAGCACTGAAGCTCCCAATCTTGGGGTTACAGAATACTGAAGATGCTGCAACTCATTGCGGTCTTGAGGACTGATTGCCAAACTGATCAATCAACTAATAGTGATTGGGGAGTGTCCCACTGGTATTTCATGCCTGGGTTCTGAGGTTTTCGTGACTTGTCAAATAAACTGTCTCCTTTACAGAGTCGTCCTGCACAAGTCTCCATAGACATTTCATGTGTCCAACTCAAGCAAAGAGACTGGGTGTCAAATTGTGTTACCATGTTGCAATGAAACAAACTCTTACAATTACACATTATTCATATTACTATGGCACTCTGTGATATGCTCTTACACACTGCACGTTACTTCAGTGTGTGTAATGGTTATTGTGTAAATAAATAAAACCAGTCCTTTTTATGATTAGTATATTACTAAAGTTAATTCATTCTTTCATACAACACAAGTCCCTGCTATCCTGTTTCTCTCACTTTATTCCTCAACACCTCTCGTTTCTACCCTTGTCTCCAAACACCACCTATCTCTGCTTTTATCATTCCCTCACGTACACCATGGTTCCCTCCTCATTCCCTCACCCACACCATGGTTCCCTCCTCATTCCTTCACCCACACCATGGTTCCCTCCTCATTCCTTCACCTACACCATGGTTCCCTTCTCATTCCCTCACCTGCACCATGGTTCTCTCCTCATTCCCTCACCTGCACCATGGTTCCCTCCTCATTCCCTCACCTACACCATGGTTCCCTCCTCAATCCCTCACCTACACCATGGTTCCCTCCTCATTCCTTCACCCACACCATGGTTCCCTCCTCTTTCCTTCACCTACACCATGGTTCCCTTCTCATTCCCTCACCTGCACCATGGTTCTCTCCTCATTCCCTCACCTACACCATGGTTCCCTCCTCATTCTTTCACCCGCACCATGGTTCCCTCCTCAGTCCCTCACCTACACCACGGTTCCCTTCTCATTCCCTCACCTGCACCATGGTTCCCTCCTCATTCCCTCACCTACACCATGGTTCCCTCCTCATTCCCCCACCTACACCACGGTTCCCTCCTCATTCCCTCACCTACACCATGGTTCCCTCCTCATTCCCTCACCTACACCACAGTTCCCTCCTCATTCCTTCACCTACACCACGGTTCCCTCCTCCTTCCCTCACCTACACCATGGTTCTCCCCTCATTCCCCCACATACACCATGGTTCTCCCCTCATTCCCCCACATACACCATGGTTCTCCCCTCATTCCCCCACATACACCATGGCTCTCCCCTCATTCCCCCACATACATCATGGCTCTCCCCTAATTCTCCCACATACACCATGGCTCTCCCCTCATTCCCCCACATACTCAATGGCTCTCCCCTCATTCCCCCACATACACCATGGCTCTCCCCTCATTCCCCCACATACACCATGGTTCTCCCCTCATTCCCCCACATACACCATGGTTCTCCCCTCATTCCCCCACATACACCATGGTTCTCCCCTCATTCTCCCACATACACCATGGTTCTCCCCTCATTCCCCCATGGATTCCCGGTGGATTCTGTCTGTTATCCATTCATGTTGCTCCATGTTTCGCTCTGGGTTCTGACACTCAGTATCCCGAGCTCAGTCTTATTGCCAGCAGTGGCGGATCCAGAGCCTGATCTCGGGAGGGGCACTTGTAGATTATTTAAATAAATAATCCAGACACAATAACCACTACAGCTCAGTGTAGTGGTTATGGTATCTATAGTGCCGGGACCCCCTCCCAATGTAAGTAGTCAAACCGTTTAAGAACAGTTTGACAACTTACCTGAGGTCTGCTGGGAAATGGGGCAGTAGTAGTGCATAGGAGCAGTAGTGTGTGTGAGTGGTGCAATGTGTAAGGGGTGCAGTGTGTGTGTGAGGGGGACAGTGTGTGAGCGTGTGTGAAAGCGGCAGTGTATGTCAGGGATGCAGTGTATGTGTGGGACAGTATGTGTGTGTAACAGTTGCAGTGTGTGTGTGTGTGAGTATTGCAGTGTATGTGTGAGTGTGGGCAATGTGTGTATATGGGGCAGCAGTGTATGGGGGCAGTGTGTGTGTGTATGGGGGGCAGTGTGTGTGTATGAGGGGGCAGTATGGGGGGCAGT